GAGATAGAATGGTCCAAAACCAGTAGGTTTGCTGATTATGGATTGTCTGCGGTTAAAAAAAAGATAGGAGAGGCTACTAAAAGTAATAGATTACGAAATACTTCGAATGTGAGGAATGGTAGTAGAAAGTTTAGTAGGAACTACTTATGTTTAATTGATAGATAGAAGGAGAAAGAGGATGTTGAGTCGCCATCCAAATGAAGGGGACTCAACTTGTCGGCTCGGTGATGGTTCTAACTTCATGAATCTTCCAGTAAAGCCAATCGACAGCTGGTCAAGAGGAATCCGCCGTCGTCTTCTGGTGGAACCTACCTTCGAATCTCTTCACTCAACACTTCCACTCGAAATGGAAGTAAGCTCAGCAATTATGAAACAAGAGATTCCTCAAAACCAATCTTTTCTACGTGTATACAAGATAAGAGAGCCTATTAAAATTAACAGATTATGGAATACGTTGATCCAGTTGATCGGCCCTGGTTTGAGTCCCCACATGACAGCATCATGAATGACAAAAACGAAGATTTGTTTCGTCTATAAGCAGGTCTTAGAGACGACCAGTTTGAGGTGTATTTACTCTAGCTCGTTTAAAGTAAAAAGAGGACTTATCGTTTAGTCTTCCCACAATTATATGAGTGGACCTTACGTTTCCAGTGAATTTCACTTATCCTTGCTTCCTAAAAGGTCTTCTCGTCCAGGCTGGACTGAAATTGAATGGAAACATTGGGGGATAATTCAACTACCAGTCCCTCTATCGCCTCAAGTGAAATAGGGTGAATACATATCATATATTAGAGTGAAGATTGTTGGTCGTGAACAGTTTGATGTGTGAGTTGTGGTCATGGCTCGGCAAGATAGCTTCTCTTCAGCCAGACGCGAGTGCCAGGCCTAGTCAAGTGCCACTACTTGGCCGACTGGTTGAGGCCAGCGTCCAGGCGGCCCGTCACGGCACCGGTCTACACAGACCGGCCCGGTTTGTGGAGCCGCCGGAGGCCGCCAGGCCCCGTTCTCGAGCCTGCCTCAATGAGCCCAGCCTAAGCACTGCAAACAGCCAGTCGTGACAGTTACACTCAGTCCAGGCGCAGCCTTACATCGCTAAATGTGCATATTCGCCTGGATGGAGACAGCCCACAATGCCCGGCCTTGTCCCGGGCAAAGCAATGATTAATAATTCAAGATAAAATATTATTGCCCCCTTTCACCCCGTCTGGTCCCACTATCCTTTTTCAATGCATCATATAAAACATACTGTATTTATAGCTGAATTGATTCAATGCTAGTTACTGTTTGTGTGTGTCTGGTGTTCTCGCCTTGGCCACGGTGCTAGCAAGTCTACGTCATCCTTCATTGACAGACCCAACAACTGTTCAGCTTCGCCCTAGACACGAATTTGAAGGTAGCAGGAGACGTGGCCAATGTTGAAATATTTCTAAAATGTACGTTTGCTACCTCTGATACCGCCACCATGGCTTCCCTCCTAGGCCTCGAGCGAGTGCAGCCGCTGCAGTCATCCGATGTAGGCGAGAGGGTAGCATGGGCGTCAGTGTGTCAAGATGCGCCATAGTTCGGCGAGTGGGGTTGTGGGGCGGACAACCGGGCACGGACAGGCAAGGGAGAGGGCAGGTTAGACCAGCCGAACATGATGTGGGGTTGCTGTTGAGTAGGGCAGGGGAAGCCAGTTGATGCCTTGAAATGTCACAACTCCTGCCCTTGTAGATCTAAATGTAGCATTTTTAATCGTTTCCTAGTTTGCTTGTTCCATCGCCTTCGTTGACCTTTAATAATTTAGTTTGAGCGGAACAACAGTACGTCAAGTATTTAGTCACAAGAGTCCGGAATATCGGAGAGTAAGTCAGAAATCACTTTCGTTCGTCCACTAAAAACAAAGCAAATAGGTGTCCACAATGCTGAAGAAGTCGAACTGGCGTCCTTCGGAAGTCCACTCCTGAAAGAAACTCATCCACACTCCTGAGGACGCAGGCAGATGAGCTCCGGCCAGCTGATAAGAACTATTTTTATCCTAAATCCGATGCCAGTCCGAGTCAATTAACCAAATCTTGTCACCAAGTCTCATTGATGTTGGACTACCTTTCATTTAGTTTGAGGAGGCGAGTGAAAGGGATTTTAGAATGGTTCAACCGGAGGCTGTGGTGAAGTAACCTTGGAGCTGTGGTCGCAGATTTGTACGAATAGGACCTCGGCGCACACGGCCTGCTTGCTGAGCTTTCGTCCGTCATGTGACGGAAATCGTCAGAT